GTAGGGCTGCTATGTCTCCTGGAATTTGTAGAGTGTCTTTGCGTAGTAGGTGTCCTGTAGGGCCCAGTGGCTCAGCCTCCCCAGTCACCTGAGCTGGGCCTTCTAGGTGCTCCCCTGTGTGTGCTGTGTGCACTGTCCTGTTNCAGGTGGGGAGGGGCGGGGCCTCCGGGAATCACAGGGCGGGGCCAACGGTGTGAGTCAGGTGCTGGCGATTCAAATATGGCGACTGCCTGCCGACTGTGTGGGGAGGACTCGCCAAAGGAGCAACACCCCCCGTCAGCCCTTCTGCCTGGGAGGAAGCCGCCCCTCCACCTCTCGCCTGGATCTCAGGCAGGTTAGTTCCTCCCCGAGTGTCCCNTGGATCAGGACTTACTTCAGTGGAGCTTTGGTGCTCACCAAGTTCACCCCTTGAGTGTGTCACTCGTGGCTGTGGTAGGGTTGTAATCCAGTGTGGTCGAGCCTGACCACCAGGTGCATTGTCTCTGGGGCCTCNGCTCTTCCCGGCCTAGAGCCCTGGGCTGGGGGCTGCTGTGGGGCTGGGACCCCTCCCTCCTCCGGGAAAACTCCGCCACCGAGATTCCCTCCTGGGTTTCAACTGCGGCACCGGGTGTGGGCCCAAGGCCGGGTCTCTGCGATTCAGCCCCGATCCGCCCGCGTCTCCGCCCCTCCTCCCGGTCTTGGTCAGCTCCCTGGTTGTGGGGCTTCTGTGCAGCCGGATCTCAGGAGGCTCTGAGTGACGGTGGTTCTGTATTTTAGTTGTGATTTTGATGTGGTTGCGGGAGGCGGCGGGTGCAGCTGTTACCTACGCGCCATCTTGTTTCTCTCTATCGCATCTTACTTTTTAGTACCAATGAGTAAGGATTGTTTAGGTTAAGGTGCCAAAATAAATAGGCTCAAAACTTAGCCCTTAAAGTCAAAATACGTATTCCTCATTGTACATGTCCATTGGGGGTTGGACAGCACCTGTGCTCCACGCTGTCCATCCCAGGAACGGAGGAGATGGAGCAGCTGCTGTATTGAATGTTGCTCTGCGCTTTCGCAGAAGAAAAGAGATGCCAGGTCAGCCGTGTGCACTGGCTCTTGAGGCTTCTGCCCAGAAGTGATGCACGTCATACCCACTCACCTTTCCCTGGCAGGAGCAAGTCACAAGGCCATACCGGACTGTAGGTGGGTGGGGCGGTATAATCCCACCATACGCCTAGAAGGAGAAAGATCTGGAACATTTTTGACCAGTCTTAAAGGCTTCCTCAATATGGTAAAAACAGTAAGGGATTTAGAATTTGATATTAGAATTTTAGCCCCTGTTCATATATTTATGTTGCCACGGACAAGCCATTTAGCATTATCAGTTTCGGTAACCTCATTTACAAAAATGGAGAAAATAGTTCTTAATTCAATGAATGCTTGAGAGGGTTAAATAAGGCATCACATGTGAAATCACTTAGCCCAATATTAGTTTTCTTCTTTCCTTCCACTCACTGCCCAGAGATAATGTATCATGTGGTTTTAATATTTTTATTACAGTTAAATTTTAAAAAATGTATCTTTATTGATTTCAGAGAGAGGAAGGGAGAGGCAGAGAGAGAGATAGAAATGTCAATAATGAGAGTCATTGATGGGCTGCCTTTTGCATGGCCCCCACTGGGGATCAAGCCCCCAACCCAGACAGGTGCCCTGACCCGGGAATTAAACCTCAATCTCCTGGATCATAGGTTGGTGCTCAACTGCTGAGCCACGCCAGCCGGGCTGGTTTTAATATTTTTAGTAAGGAAAAATTTGTATGTGTTGGTTGGCTGCTTCAATTTACATTAGTAATTTCCTCTACCCTACCTTATTACAAGCTTTTTGAGAACAGGGCCAATGTTTTATCATTCTTCTGTACCTCTGACATTGCCTAGCACAATGTCAAAAACATAATATGTACGAAAAAATATATGTATTGATTATTTTCTCCTGAAAAGTGTCTCACTTTGAAGGGTTAACTCTCAAGTAAACATTTTCAATAAATTTTAATTTTCTCCCCTAGGGCTTTTGTTTTACAGACTTTTCCAACTAATTATTTTATATTTACAATATCATGGTGACACAGATGATATTACACTTATTTATAGTTTTAAAAAATAGAAATTAGAGGAGCTTTTGTGGGGGTCATTCTACATTTCACCTTTTGGCACAAACAACCTCAGAGACTTACAACCCAAGAAACCACTGACACAATTTTGCCATGGTTGCCAAGGGACAAGGAGGGACAGTGAGCGGGGAAGGTGAGGCTTATTTGCTGTGGCTCCTCTCTGGATCTGGCTCTTCCCTAAGGCCTTCCAAGAGGCCAGTCAGAGACAGAGTTTGAATACAGGCTCACTAATAACCCCCCAGACCTAGATGAGACACTGTATTGATGACCTCTCGGGATCAATGTGAAGATTAAATAGATAAGTAAAAATCATTTAGCATGGAACACAGTTAGCTAGCGTAAATAACAGTTCAGGTGTCATTTGGCCAGTTTGATCAAGAGATGAGATTCTTAAAGATTGTTCCTCTGATTCCTTCATATTCTGACCAAAGTCTACTTCAAATATTATTTC